GTTTCATTCTGTTGTACATATCATCACTATTAAAATACCATCATTATTTTCCCCTATTAAGTATACTTTGATTTCTCTCAGGATGATTTATAACATTTATTTTAGGATCTGTATATACAGAAACAGAGAAAGGATTTCTTTCTTTGAGGACACCCAGCAAATAGCTCCACATGTAAACGTCTTCATCTAGACCCATCTGTAGACAATTAAGCAGACTTAAAGAGGTTCATAGGCCACGCCTGTGTAATGAGGCTTGGGGCTGGTTGCCTGGATCAAATGGCTGCAATTGAAGACTGATTTGGAGCAACAGTTTGGGGAGCCTAAATTAAAATGTTGTGGGCATTGCAACTGCACTGGGCATTCTCTTACTCTACATACACAATAATCTACAATAATGTTAGAACTTCCATGTAAAAATGTCATGATATATGACACCTGTCATCCATCATGAATAAGGGCAGAAAAAATATTCAGCTGAAAAATGTATATGTGCATGTGCATACATATACAGAGATGTACATAGGTGGGTGCATTCATAAACAACATTTATTTACTCACAAACTGGAATGTAGAATGTGTGTAAATTCCATAAAGCATAAATGTGTATAGAAATGCCCAGAGTCATGTCACTGGAAACATATCTTATAAATACGTTCAGTTTTATTACTGCCCATCTATTTCATCAGGCTCTCCCTCATGGATTAAATAATTAAAATAAAATCCACACCTCATCACATGGTACACACTCTTTCCTTCACCCCTATTGAGACTGCTCCTCTGTCACTGTGTCTAAACCAGCTATGGTCAGTCATTCTCAGTGCCTTGCATGAGTTAGAAAAAGAGTGACCTCAGGATGCAGAAATTGTGCTGTGTGAATGCATAATTTACAGACTCCAAGAAGAGAGATGAGTAGCAATTTTGGAGATTTCTAGTCCAAACACTTGTTAAAAACTGAGACAAATATTGAAAAATCTTCAAGGAGTCAAACTAAAATTTACAAGAGGAAAAAAGGCCAATTTGTGGTCTTGGATGTGCTGTTAATTTAACAGGTATTTATCAGAGTTGTTCACTTCTACTTAATTCTGCTGTATCCTCTTAACTTGAGTCATGCCCATACATTGAGTATCTGCTTTGAGGCTTATTTTGATGGATTATTTCACACGACAAATTGTTAAAGACGAACTGGATTAGAGAAACAACATAATCCTCATGCAACAGTATAATTGCCTTTTCTTCTTACCCTTGATAGAAATTCTGCCCATGGAAATAAATTAGTTCTGCAGTTAACCATGCACATAAGTCAAGAGTTTCTGCCAAAAGCCCCAAATAATATCTAAAATACTGGGGAAAGAAGAACAAAACAAAACATTATATATATATATGTATAAACATACGCATAATCTTTATATCTATCTATATATATGTATAAACATATATGTTAATGATCTGTCCTATATGATTTCACAAATTTCTTAGATTTTGATATACAACGGCAAGTACTATTTTAAACTTCCATAGTTGATTTTCCAATTAGTTTATATAGGATAATATACATTATAGTATTGGTAACAAATCTTTATTGAAAAAAATTAGCCCCTTTCAGTACCTTTTATTCTTTATCACTTGACCATTAATATTTTATAAGACAATCCAGACAAACACAGTTTGGGGAATTTTAAAGCAGTACACATGACTGAGAAAATATCCCCTAAGTAACTCATTGTGGTAATAATTATTTCATACTCTGTTGCATTTAGTGTTATTTACAGTACCTGAGCTAGAAAAAGAAAAGATTCCATTATGGCAACATTTACAGGCATTGTTTTAATTCAACAATCCACATTGTCAATCTACAACATAAATGTCTCCTTCTCATATACCTTCCTTGGAGTTGTAATCCAGCATATTTCATGAAACAGAAAAGTGTCTGAAAAGTCATTGTGATGTGGAATATCTGCTTAAAGGATAATAATAATAATAAAACTAGTTAGTCATCTAGCATTTTCAGTATTCATATATTTAAATCACATAGAAAGCAACACCTATAGGAGTAACCCTATTGTTCTCTTTTCTTTTGAGTCTGTTGGTATTGGGTAAGTGCAGTCAGTATTCATTTAGGTCTTACACATTTTAGGCACTGATTTAATGTATACACAGTTGATGTATATAAAGGGAAATACAAAGTTCAAAACAAATTCTTATCCAGAAATGACATAGGACATTAATATTTAAATAATGAGAAAAATTATTCGTTCTGATAGTACATATATTAAAACCAGCTCTTACACTGGAAATTATGCTTGTTTCTAAATAGGAATCAATTCATATGCTACAAAGCATTAATAATCTCTCCCTGCTCTTTATTACTGATAATAATTATACTACCTAAAGTCAGCATTTAGTTTTATAGTCCATCCATATGAAGATAGTTATGGTCTGAATGTTAACTCCTTAAAAGCCACATCGGCAAGGGGGTTTCAAAAAGTTCAGGAAAATTTTCTATTTTCTCTTAATTACATTTTCCACCAACTTTAGAAGTCCCTCATGTTTCTACAACTGTTAATTAAAGAAATAATAAAAAATGACACCTATCTTAGAAGCAAATGCAACACATGTAAAGAAAACATTTTAAATATCTCTGGTGCTATTTTCAAGCATTTATATACTCAGAGAAATAAAATTCATTCATTAAAGTGCAGTTATAGAACATACTATAAAAGAATCCCAGGCTGAATTAATAAAAGGGACTGCCAAAGTATTTCTTCAACATATTCCATAAAGCTCTGTTGCTACAAGTTCTTTATGTTATGGTATAAATTATGCAATGAGTATATCACAGTACAGTCTGCATGATGCATAATGCTGTGTATCTTCAAAGGAAAAACAACTGCAGACTATATATGCCACTCCAGAGTCCACTTGATCATGGCAGGAGTTCAGAGAAGCAAACTGTTATACTGTCACATACTAGAATGGAAAATCAGAACATATTCAGAGAAAAAACAATAACAAAAAATAATCTGGTCAAATTTGATTAATAGTAGGTTAAATTCATGTCTTTCAATGTTTACCTATCTCTCACACAAATTTCCTAAAAAAATCACTTTGACTCTCCTTTTATGATAGCAAAGAAGTCTAAGAACAAAGTGTGCTAATATGAAATGTTGATCAACTTTGTTAAAGATTCATAGGACCTAAGAGGGAAGTTAAGGCATAATGGAGAAATGAATCTAAATTAAATGATCTTGATACCTTTCATAATCCTATCAACACAGTTAGGGCTCTGGGTACAGTGGAAAAATTACAAGGAATAGGACTTGGAACACTAGAAGTTTTCCTCATATAATTAATTATATTTAGAAGTGGGAAGAAATTAGTGAACTTTATACCTTGATGTCTTGATTTATCCTGGTCATCTCGTCTTAAAACTCTATGAATCATCTATAAAACTAATTATCTTTCTTATGTAGCCTGTGATATATATATATAATATAAGTAGAACCTTAGCATAAATATGAGCTTCAAAATGTTCATGGAAGTTTTCCATTATTCAATATCTTCACTTTTTTCTACAAGCTTTTGAAACAAACTTGTGTACCAAAATACTATTTAACTGCTGTTGATAGTTTTTCAATTATACAAATCAGTAAATTTCTTTGAATACATCACTGGGATCAAAAGTGTTCCTATATATATAAAATCAATCTCACCTATTGATTACAGATTAAGTTTGATATATTTTTATTAACACTCTTTTAACACAGACTGCCAGAATACATTGCTCCAAATATATTCACTGTAATTTGTAAGATTCCTTCTATAATACCAATGGTTTGTACATGCTTTCTGTATTTGCAAAATTGGTCTAATAAGCAAAAGTTAATATATTGGATGAAGATAACCTAATTGTATCATTTAGTTCATTAATTCTAGCCTCCAGTTTGGTTTTCTATTGTTTCTATTAATCAGATGGTTCTATAAATATCAATACCAAATTCCTGTTGGTTATGCTTAGAGAGTTCAAAGATGCATTTATTTGGTAAGTGGTGTTCCATCAAGGCTCTCAATCTCATGGATTAACATAGTCATTTGTTTATTTTAATCATGAATTTGTTTAAAAATATGAATCTATGTTAACTGGTACTACATAGCAGTTTAATTTAATGAAATCTTCATTTTCTAAATGTATATAATCTGCTTTTATGTTTTTATTTTAGAATTCTCTCTCCATACTCCACAATCCACTATACAACTTCATACCAGGATCATGCCAAACATTTCTAAATTGGACTTGTAAATTGGAACAATTTACATACATACATACACTGGAGATTATCTATATAAAATGACACAAATCTAATGCATTCAGAAAGAAATTTAGTAATTAATCCAGATGTTCTATTTCATACTAACCAACTTATTTAATAAAATATTTTGTTTTAACAGATTTAATTCTTGATAGAACTGTGTTGGCATTATTTAGACGTAACTCAAATTAATAAGAATAGCAATAGAGCCTTTCAAAGAGTCTATTTAAGTTGGCACAGATTCCAAGTTTAAGAAAAGTGACTTGAATTAGTTTGTGTGGACAAAACTTTTATGGTATAACTGCAATTTAGATTCTAAAAACACTGAGGATCTACATTTTATCATCTTCCAGTTGTTTTTAACAACTAGATCCTAGTCAAACTAATAATTTAAGTGATCCAGAGAATCAAGTGTTACATTGCATTTGGGTTCAAAACAGATCAATTTATACAGAGAAGTTTACTGTCAACAAAAATAAAATATTTATGTCTATAGATATTTATTTCAAAAAGTTATTGCTAAAATATCATAATTGGCCTGGAATCTTCTGGAAAATTTATGGACTACTTTATAAAGTTACACAAAATTGTGAAAAAGTTGCATGCTTTAGAAACAGTATTTTCATCAAGCCTGTGGTCTAAAAAGAGTATGAAGACAATAGCAAATGAATGCATTAAAGAGTTTCCTGATATTTACAGTATTTTTTCTTCTCTAGTTGATATCTCTTCAAAGCTGTTCAATTTCTTTTCTGTTGGTTTTTTTGCCTTACATTCAGGACATGGAGACATTTGCAATTTCTGTAAAACAACACAAAAAGGACAATAAGCATAGTCAAAATACACACAAAGACTCATAAAAATAT